AAACTCTGGGTAACCCCGACTGCGCGCCCCAGCCCACTGGATCAACATTATGCAATCATGGTCCAGTGGGTTTAGGCAATGCGTTCTTAGCCACCCCTGAACGCTGGTTCGAATCCCCTGATTTCTGAAATGATTTTCGCAAATTGTATTTTACACCATTGTGACTTAGTATATAAGCAATAAAAATAATTATAAATTAAAATTTAAAATCAAAATGTTTTTCAACACTGTAGAAAAATTATTTTTAGGCAAATTGCTTGTACAATAAATTCGTGCTGAAAATTTCGCATAGAAAAAAATAATATGAAAATTTATATAAAGTGTATACAGTAATTTTGTAAAGATATATTTCATGACCAGAGTGTAATTTTTAACTTGGAATTGTTTTAATATTAATAATATTACATCCTGACATTTGTCAGGATGTAAAAATATACCGGGAATTGAACCCTGAAACTTTCGCTTGCGAACGAATGATTTTGACCACATCAACCAGTCAAACTACACGGAAAGTCTTATTTATCAGCTGGAAAATACATGAAAATATATCAATATTAAACAATTTGTAATCATTTTAATGAGAACGGAACAATCAGTATACACCTGTTTTAATGTGCATAATCTGCTAATTACTAGGCAGCTGTAATTAAATGCCCCAGTAAGCTGTTTACCAACATGGTCAAAGTTATCTTTGTGAAAATATATATTTTGCATAATGAAATAACTTGAGCGTGATTATGATGAAATATTTGGGCTGTTGAATGGGATCGAACACGTACCTCTGCACGTACGCTCTACCAACTGAACATATATATATATATATATATATATATATATATATATATATATATATATATATATATATATATATATATATATTCTGATGACCATAATCATCAGTGACAAGTAACAAACCTGCATAATTGACAAACCATTAACTTTTCTAATGACATATTTGGTGGCGATTTATTTAGTGGTCTATTTTTTTGTAAATGTCGGTAATGTGTTGTGAGGTGTTCAGTGTTCAGGGGGAGTGATGGTGTTCAATTGTGTGAAGAGAGAGTTGACGATCAGGGGCGTTCAGATAGACCCGGTGTTCAATTACCATTAGGGAGACCTAATGGCCAATTACCGCGAGTGAGAGGAGGTGTTCAAACCGAAGGACTCAGGAACCAGTCGGCGTCAAGAGTGAACAAAATGTTCATGGGGTGAAAATAGCTTTTTCTAAAAGGTAGACGTTGTTCCGTAAGACATATCATCCAGAAGTCACTTAATAAAATGTCATGCAATAAGGGCTTGCAACGTTAAGTTGAAGATTATGCAGCATTCACCTTTAAGAGAGAATTGCCTCTGTCACCCACTGAAAAAGAAAACGGGAAGATAAAGTATACTGATTATTTTTGTGTGTGAGAGAAACGCACGCACGCGCATACACACACACACACACACGCACACACACACACACACACACACACACACACACACACACACACACACACACACACACACACACACACACACACACACATGATGTATGGCAATGACGAACCAGCGAGACTCGACCTAGTCTTCACTCTGAACGACTCCGACATAAGAGAAATCGGTTTTGAGGACCCAGTAGGAATGAGCGACCACAGTGTACTGGTGTTTGAGTACTTGATTGAAGAAGGGTTATTGAACTCGAGGAGGGATACCGAAACCAAAAGGTTAGCATACCGAAAGGGAAACTATGAGGGGATAAGAAAATTCCTAACAGATATAGCATGGGAAACAGAGCTCAGGGGAAAGACGGCCCAAGATATGATGGATTACATCACGCAGAAGTGCAAGGACGCAGCAAACAAGTTTGTCCCAGTCCAAAAGGAAAACAGAGAAATGAAGATGAGAAACCCATGGTTTAATCAAAGATGTAGGCTAGCTAAGCAGCAAAGTAAAAGGGCATGGAGAAACTATAGGAATAACAGGACACTGGAGAGCAGAGAAAGATACCAGAATGCCAGGAATGAATATGTCAGGATGAGAAGAGAGGCAGAAAGACAATACGAAAATGACATCGCAAGCAAGGCAAAGACTCAGCCTAAATTGTTGCATAGCCACATTAGGAGAAAAACAACAGTAAAGGAACAGGTTATGAGATTAAGGATAGGGGCGGAAGGATTCACTACAAATGACAAGGAAGTGTGTGAGGAATTGAATAAGAAATTCCAGGAGGTCTTCACCTTAGAACAAGGAGAAATTCCAGAGGTAAGTGAGGGAATAGCTAACCAGGAACCACTGGAAGAGTTTGAGATTACCAGTGGGGAAGTAAGGAAGTGTTTACTAGAGTTGGACGTGACGAAGGCTATAGGCCCAGATGGAATCTCCCCTTGGGTTCTAAAGGAAGGAGCAAGAGAACTGAGCCCACCACTCTCCATAGTGTATAACAAATCACTGGCAACAGGGGAACTGCCAGATATTTGGAAAGCAGCTAACGTAGTCCCGATATACAAGAAAGGGGATAGACAGGAGGCACTGAACTACAGGCCAGTGTCCCTAACCTGCATACCATGCAAGCTGATGGAGAAGATTGTGCGAAAAAAACTAGTGGAGCATCTGGAGCGAAGGAACTTTGTAACACAGCATCAACATGGGTTCAGGGATGGCAGGTCCTGCCTCACAGGGTTACTTGAATTCTACGACCAGGCAACAAAAATAAGGCAAGAAAGAGAAGGGTGGGCAGACTGCATATTTTTGGATTGTCAGAAAGCCTTTGATACAGTGCCACACAAGAGGCTAGTGCGAAAGTTGGAGATGCAGGCTGGAGTGAGAGGGAAGGTACTCCGGTGGATAGAGGAATACCTAAGCAACAGGAGACAACGAGTCTGTGTGAGGGGTGAGGTCTCAGATTGGCGAGACGTCACAAGTGGAGTCCCGCAGGGGTCAGTCCTTGGACCTATACTGTTTCTGGTATATGTAAATGATCTCCCAGAGGGTATAGATTCGTTCCTCTCAATGTTTGCCGACGATGCAAAAATTATGAGGAGGATTGAAACAGAGGATGATAGTAGGAGGCTACAAGATGACCTGGATAGACTGAGTGAATGGTCCAACAAATGGCTGTTGAAGTTCAACCCGAGTAAATGCAAAGTAATGAAACTAGGCAGTGGAAACAGGAGGCCAGGCACAGGATACAGAATAGGAGATGAAGTACTTAATGAAACAGACAGAGAGAAAGATCTAGGAGTTGATATCACACCAAACCTGTCTCCTGAAGCCCACATAAAGAGAATAACGTCTGCGGCATATGCGAGGCTGGCTAACATCAGAACGGCGTTCAGGAACCTGTGTAAGGAATCATTCAGAATCTTGTACACCACATATGTAAGACCAATCCTGGAGTATGCGGCCCCAGCATGGAGCCCGTACCTTGTCAAGCACAAGACGAAGCTGGAAAAAGTCCAAAGGTATGCTACTAGACTAGTCCCAGAACTAAGAGGCATGAGTTATGAGGAAAGGCTGCGGGAAATGCACCTCACGACACTGGAAGACAGAAGAGTAAGGGGGGACATGATCACAACCTACAAAATCCTCAGGGGAATCGACCGGGTAAACAAGGACGAACTTTTCAACACTGGTGGGACGCGAACAAGGGGACACAGGTGGAAGCTGAGTACCCAAATGAGCCACAGAGACGTTAGAAAGAACTTTTTCAGTGTCAGAGTAGTTAGCAAATGGAATGCATTAGGAAGTGATGTGGTGGAGGCTGACTCCATTCACAGTTTCAAATGTAGATATGATAGAGCCCAATAGGCTCAGGAATCTGTACACCAGTTGATTGACGGTTGAGAGGCGGGACCAAAGAGCCAGAGCTCAACCCCCGCAAGCACAATTAGGTGAGTACACACACACACACACACACATATATATATATATATATATATATATATATATATATATATATATATATATATATATATATATATATATAATTTTCCAGGTGATATTAAAAAATACATGGATCAATAATTGCAGTATACTATGGCTTGGCTGGTCAGGTGGAGATTGAGATTGATGAAGGCCTGAGAGTGGAACCGGTAGTTGTGGTCAGGGAAATTTGAGACGGATTGGATGGAAAATTGAAATTGGTGCATAATTGATGGGGATTTGGGAAGATAATGATGAGGGATTGGGTAGAAAATTGAAATTGGTGCATAACTCATTGGGATTGGGAGGAAATATTTTTGGGGGATTGGGAGGAAATATTTTTTGGGGATTGAGTAGAAGATTGGGATTGATACATGATTGGTGGGGATTGGGAGGTAAATTGAGAAGGGAGTGGGGCAGCCAGTTACGACAACCGGTTGCATTAGTAATCAATTTAGTAATTAGTAATGAACTCACACAGCGTACATTTACTATACCACTTCCCATCCTCTGGAAGTGACTATATATATATATATATATATATATATATATATATATATATATATATATATATATATATACCACTTCCCATCCTCTGGAAGTTGTGGAAGTATATATATATATATATATATATATATATATATATATATATATATATATATATATAATTGAGAGTAGCCTATCTTGGGTCAATAGGCCTTCTGTATAATTTTATTAATTTGATCGTATGTATAAGAGCATCATTGTTTAATGCTCTATTGATGAGAATACATCACAACCGAATCAAAATCTATTTAGGATTCAATGATGGGGTTCTAATTTCGACTTTTATTATGCTGATTAATTTGGCGATTGAGAGACCCCTTATCATGAGTTACACTCATTCAATCCGAGAATAAGATTGAAATAGCAACTCTTAGTGGGCCAGCCAGAGGCTTAAGGCTCCCACAGGGAATATCTATATCCCAGAATATATATATATATATATATATATATATATATATATATATATATATATATATATATATATATATATATATATATATAAATATAAATAAAACATATATATATATATATATTTTTTTTTTAATTTCCAGGATTATCAAGTAGATATCTACTTGAGGCAGACGTGGGTGGACGAGCGTCTGAACCACGTAAACATCACCCAACCACTTGACCTCAATGACCCCAATTTGGTGAAGGCCATATGGAAGCCCGAGGTGTACTTCCCCAACGCCAAACACGCAGAGTTCCAGTTTGTGACCGTGCCCAACGTCCTGGTCAGGATCAACCCCAAGGGCGTCATATTCTATATGCTCAGGTATGCTAGTTAAAGTGATCTCTTGTGGGGTTTGATTGCCTGTGCTCTTGTGCAATGGGGGATTAAAACACTTCTTGTAAACACATTCCCAAGTATTACTCTCATTTTGATTTTGAATGATGTGTTAATTCGTCATTGGAATTAGACATAACCCCCCCCAAAGGGGGAATGATATTGGTGTATTTACATTGTTGAAAAAGATATACCTGTAATTAACCATTAATTAGGATGAGGTATTTAGCCTGTATTATATATGCAGCGTCCAGGAAGTATTTTTTGTGCAGCAGAGAGACAGGTAAAGGATTAATGTGGTCGTTTATACATGTATAGGGGTGTATACATGTGGATACATATAGGGGTGTATACATGTGGATACAAGGGAATACATGTTAGAAAACATGTTGCCACGGAGGGGGTCGAGCTGCAAGACTTTAACTTATGCAGTTGAGGCCAGGGTATAAAGCTGAGAGGTCGCTAGGAGTAGCTCCTAGCTCCCCCGTCAGGAGGAAGAGGCCCCCCTAGCTCCCCCCGTCAGGAGGAAGAGGCCCCCCTAGCTCCCCCCGTCAGGAGGAAGAGGCCCCCCTAGCTCCCCCGTCAGGAGGAAGAGGCCCCCTAGCTCCCCCGTCAGGAGGAAGAGCCCCCTAGCTCCTCCAGTCAAGGATGAAGAAGCCCTTCCTCGCCCCGTTTGGAGGAAAGAACCCTTAGCTCGCCCCCATCAGGAGAGAGAGAACCCTTACCTCGCCCCCATCAGGAGAGAGAGAGAACCCTAGCTGACTTCGTCAGGAGGCAGGGGACCCAAACTCAAACTGATACATGCAACACAAGAGATGGCACACTGATACCACGTGATGTCCAATGGATCAACATGCAATACACTCCATGTATCTTATAGCCACATATGCAACACAAGACCAACGCCACATCACTGACACAAGACATCACACCATCAATACTCAACATAACATGTTCCCTGCATCACTGATGCAACACACTACACACCACCGAAAAAAGAAACCTGCAGAGCAACATATGCACCACTGCTATGCAACACAACACGCAACATTATCACAACACGCAGAAGAAATCATCATGCAGGACAACATACACCATTTTCATTCAAGATAATGCACAACACTACCATGCAACTCAGGACACAAAACTGTCATGCAACGCAACACACAATTATGCAATGGAAAAAATATTAAAGCACTCAGAAAGAAAATGAGAAAAAATAATATAAATTAGAAAACGGAGGACCCATACACCCAATTACAAAGAAAACGGAGAAAAAGTTGTATCAATTGTAAAGAAAACGGAGAAAACGTATAACAAATACAAAGAAAAACAGAAGAAACATAAACCAATTATATAGAAAATGGAACAAACGTAGAACCCAATAAGAAAATTGTGTTGGTTTAATGTAGCCTTAATTTCAGGTCTAGCGGTTTGCTTTCATTAATTACAGTAAGGATGCATAATGAGCAACATTAACTAAACTCTAGTGCAAGATTTGCAATAATTATACACTTTGCAGCGCTGTTCGCTCGACACTTCCGGTGTTGGTGGCTGGGTGGTCGTACACTTACGACATCTGTACCACTTATCTGAGTGTTCACTTACGACACCTGTGCCTCTTATCTCAATCATGGTAGTTTGGTTTGTTTACATCGAACAGTTTACGACCTCGTAGCGCTTCCGAGCTCGTAAAGGTTTAGTAAATGCAGACCAGGCTGCCATGCTTGAGGTAAGAGGTTCAGGTGCCGTAAGTGAACCCTTGAGGTAAGAGGGTGAACCATGAACCACCAGCTGACACACAGTGAACCACCAGCTGACACAGTGAACCACCAGCTGACACAGTGAACCACCAGCTGACACACAGTGAACCACCAGCTGACACACAGTGAACCACCAGCTGACACAGTGAACCACCAGCTGACACACAGTGAACCACCAGCTGACACACAGTGAACCACCAGCTGACACACAGTGAACCACCAGCTGACACAGTGAACCACCAGCTGACACACAGTGAACCACCAGCTGACACACAGTGAACCACCAGCTGACACACAGTGAACCACCAGCTGACACAGTGAACCACCAGCTGACACTGCCCAAGTGTTCTGTTTACCAATAGAGAACCAATCAGCTAAGAGCATGTCCTCGATCGCCAGCCTTGTTCTGTATTTATTGTCTCTCTTCCAAACATGCGAAATATACACACAAACATGCGAAATATACACACAAACATGCGAAATATACACACAAACATGCGAAATATACACACAAACATGCGAAATATACACACAAACATGCGAAATATACACACAAACATGCGAAATATACATACAAACATGCGAAATATACACACAAACATGCGAAATATACACACAGACATGCGTATACACACAGACACGCGAAATATACACAAAGACATGCGAAATATACACACAAACATGCGAAATATACACACAAACATGAAATATACACACAAACCTGCGAAATATACACAGACATGCTAAATATACACACAAACATGCAAAATATACACACAAACATGCGAAATATACACATGATATACCTTGCATACATCAGATCTTTAGTGGATAATGCTGCACCTCTGCTTGCTTTGATGCCTGAAAGAAAGCTTGGAAAGCTTTAAAATGTGTAGACCAAAGCCTTGAGGATAATCCTTGGGTGCCCTCGTACCACAAAGATACTTAACATGAGAAAGGAACTTAATATTCCGAGCGTTGTTGATCGTGTTACTGAAATTATCTGTGAAATTGGAATAAAAATGCTTAGGCTATCTCATCCTAACCCTTGCACAGAAGCCCTCCAGAATTTCTTTATTGAAGTCCATCATTGTTCCAAATGGATAACTAAAACTGGAACTGAACTCAGAATGTATCAGATTTATAATTTATACCAAGAGAGACAACAATGGCACTTTCCTGCATCGTGGGAGATTACACCCTTTCCAATTTTAATCCCTCCCTTTCCACCCAAGAAGCAAATTAGAGATCAGCCCCAAGCTTCGTCTTGAGGCAAAGCTCAAGGGCTTAAGCAATATTGATGCTCTCTCCACAGAGCATTCTCTCTCTCAAATCATATACAATGATGATTCTCTACACATCCCCCCCCCACGAAATATACACACAAACGTGCTATATATGCACGCAAAATACTATATATATACATACACGTTTATATATACACTCAAACTTTCGATATGTACTCACAAACAGCTATACTCATAAACATGTGATATATACGCAAATATGTGACACGCACGGACACACACACACACACACACACACACACACACACACACACACACACACACACACACACACACACACACACACACACACACCTGGTAACCTGGTGTTACCAGGAAAAAACCTGGTAACACATCTGGAGAGAAGGGACTTCGTGACAAATCGCCAACATGGATTCAGGGAGGGTAAATCTTGCCTTACAGGCTTGATAGAATTCTACGATCAGGTGACACAGATTAAGCAAGAAAGAGAGGGCTGGGCGGACTGCATTTTCTTGGATTGTCGGAAAGCCTTTGACACAGTACCGCATAAGAGGCTGGTACATAAGCTGGAGAGACAGGCAGGTGTAGCTGGTAAGGTGCTCCAGTGGATAAGGGAGTATCTAAGCAATAGGAAGCAGAGAGTTACGGTGAGGGGTGAGACCTCCGATTGGCGTGAAGTCACCAGTGGAGTCCCACAGGGCTCTGTACTCGGTCCTATCTTGTTTCTGATATATGTAAATGATCTCCCGGAGGGTATCGATTCATTTCTCTCAATGTTTGCGGACGATGCTAAAATTATGAGAAGGATTAAAACAGAAGAGGACTGTTTGAGGCTTCAAGAAGACCTAGACAAGCTGAAGGAATGGTCGAACAAATGGTTGTTAGAGTTTAACCCAACCAAATGTAATGTAATGAAGATAGGTGTAGGGAGCAGGAGGTCAGATACAAGGTATCATCTGGGAGAGGAAATTCTTCAGGAGTCAGAGAAGGAAAAAGACTTGGGGGTTGATATCACGCCAGACCTGTCTCCTGCAGCACATATCAAGCGGATAACATCAGCGGCATATGCCAGGCTGGCCAACATACGAACGGCATTCAGAAACTTGTGTAAAGAATCATTCAGAACTTTGTATACCACATATGTCAGGCCAATCCTGGAGTATGCAGCCCCAGCATGGAGTCCATATCTAGTCAAGGATAAGACTAAACTGGAAAAGGTTCAAAGGTTTGCCACCAGACTAGTACCCGAGCTGAGAGGTATGAGCTACGAGGAGAGACTACGGGAATTAAACCTCACTTCGCTGGAAGACAGAAGAGTTAGGGGGGACATGATCACCACATTCAAGATTCTGAAGGGGATTGATAGGGTAGATAAAGACAGTCTATTTAACACAAGGGGAACACGCACAAGGGGACACAGGTGGAAACTGAGTGCCCAAATGAGCCACAGAGATATTAGAAAGAACTTTTTTAGTGTCAGAGTGGTTGACAAATGGAATGCATTAGGAAGTGATGTGGTGGAGGCTGACTCCATACACAGTTTCAAGTGTAGATATGACAGAGCCCGATAGGCTCAGGAATCTGTACACCTGTTGATTGACGGTTGAGAGGCGGGACCAAAGAGCCAGAGCTCAACCCCCGCAAACACAACTAGGTGAGTACAACTAGGTGAGTACACACACACACACACACACACACACACACAGAAGGATTATCCAGGAATCCTGAAAGGCTCCCGTCCTTCCAGTTGCTAGTGAAGGATACAAAGCTCATACAGCCTCTCCCCATCGTAGTGGTTTACGCCCTTAAACATCCAGGAGCGGCACACTTATATGTAGACTTGCCATAACAAACTCTCAAGATAAGAGGGATATATAGACCATGAGAGGCGTTCCCCGACTATTTGAGTACACACACACACATACTTAGGAGTTTACTTTATTCGGCACTTAAACTGAAGTGCCACTTAAACAATTAAAAAGTCTACTTAAAGTAACCGAAAGTGGCACTTAAACATTCGTTAAATGAAAGTTCGTTAGGAAGCATATGTGGGTTGAGTGGCAACACTAACATGGTTGACTGGCCTTAATACCCCTGCTGAGGTTGATATGCCTTACTAATTCTCCAGATGGTGGCAGGCTTAATAACGCTCCACACGTTGATGGGGTCTAATAGTCCTCCAGAGGCTTACAGGCCTTAAAAACTCTCCAGAGGTTGATAGGCCAAACTGTCCTCCGTCCCCCCCTCCCCACCACCACCTCGGGTGTCTCTCTCCTTATCTCTGTTTTACAATGACTCAACTCGACAAAAGATGTCTTCCTCCCATGAACTTTAGTGTCTAAAACTATTTTCTCTGCTCATTTTATAGTCTTTCCCTGCGGTTTATTCTCATATAAATTCATTTTAGTGATGCACACTTTATTTAATTATTCTTGGGTACAAAACAAAGTTCTCTCTCTCTCTTTCTCTCTCCTAAATTTGGATTTGGGTTTATTATGAACAATGTTTTAGAGAAAGACATTTCCAGTATGAGGCTATTGATGGCTGGTTGTCTACGAAGTTGCGACAGATGAGGAACTTTAAGAATATTGTCCTTATAACAGTAAGCCCCATACATACAATGGAGACATATTCCTGACATAGAAGATAGTGAAGCTATTTGGCCAGGCTGGACCAAGAAGCAATGTTCAGGAGAGTACACCGGTCCATCATCAAAACAAAGGCCCCCGCCGGGTTCGCAACGCATATGACTAGTATTAACTTATCTAAATCTTCATAAGTCAGTATTTGACTTACAGCGACTGCTGGAGGATGGATTGCGACATACTCACAGGAACACATGCACTCACTGGCGCATACACTCCAGTAACTTCGAGAGCCAAAAAACGAAATGAGATAGCAGTCTGGAATGAGGATATCAGAAGGTAAATGTCATATAAAAAATGGAAACGAGATATCAGAAACTGAGATGTGAGCATACTCAATACATAAAAGCAAAAGAAAAGTGTATCTGCATAATATTTAAAGGCATAAAAAAGGCATAGCTACACAATAAACGAAGGCATGAAAAAGGCATAGCTATACAGTACATATATGCACAGAAAAAGGCATAGCTACATAGTACATAAAGGCATATAAAATGGCATAGCTACACAAGGCGAAGCAGAAGAAATAATTATTTTTAAAGCACATTAATAGACCTTGAAGGAGTAATTAGGTCCTTATTCACCTATAAACTATCCAGTAACGACCATTTGGAATTAAGAAGTTTTTGGAGATAAATGATATTACCTTCTTAAATGTCCTTTTCCCGCCCGGGAAATGAAAGGGATGTAGTTAAGCTTCAAGTGAACTTAGAGCTTTAAATGAAGGTGGAGTAATTGAACTTGAGCTTAAGGCCTCATGATGGTGCCGTGTCTTCAATAGTTTGATCTTATTCTAAAAAGTATAATTGTAACTTAATGTTACTACCAAAGGTAATTGAAGGCGAGTCATGTAAGTGCTCGAATCCATCCATCATTAAGGTCTGTGGGATGGAATCCATTAGGATGTTACTCTGGCCTACAGTGTGGGAAAACATCCACGCGTCTCCAATTTCCCGCCTTTTGTGCTGGCGCCTGAGGCTATGGTCGCCATTATCTCCTGCCACAGTTGTTTACACTAAGCCAGCCCTCCAGTAGTGAATACCTCTCACTCTCTCTTCTTCAGTAAACTCAGTTCTGTACAAATATATTTCCGAAGAACATGTCTGTAGATAATACAAACTAGAACATGAACTAGAGTCTAGATTACAAACGAGATTCTAGACCACTAACTAGATCTTAGAGCAGACCATTCTCAGATTCACAAACTGTAAATTATGCCTTAACCTGTATATGTCTCATTCTATTTTTTTTAATCTATTGAATGTATTTATACTTGAGAATTAATAAAAGAAGTCAATAAATACATACAGAATATTTTACAGTATTATGAATAGGTAAGACTGAGACAGCTAGCATAAAACAGAAATCTTCAGTGGTACTAAAATCCATTATTTTTTTGACGTTGCTAGGAATGCAGCAAATAAATTGTGTTTCGATGTTTCACTGTGTAGCCTTTTCTCTCGATTTTGCATTCCATAAAAAATAGAATGATTTTGCCTAACCAGAAATGTTTGAGCCTAAACAACCCATCTAACTGATCAAAGTTGATGCACTGAGTTGCATCAACTGAGTTGCAAAGTTGAACGTCAATATTATGGCGCTTTTATTCATATGACATTTTTAACAGCTTGATCAATTGCATAAAAATTGCGATGTATTAGGTGAGAGGACAGGTTGTATTGGAATCTCTGATTCCTCTGATTTACCGGGAAGAAAACAGAGTTTAGCTGAAGTTGATTAATGACTAAAGCAATAGTTTTCAATTCATCAGCCATTACATCTCTCGTAATGTCGCTTAACCCCTCGGTACCTACCCGCCATCTCTTAATATCTACTGCATTCTGCACTAATAATGAGTCCAACTCCTCTGCCCCTTATGATTACATACTACCTAGGCAATACTGCATATGCTGTGGGTAAACTGATTTTTGTTCCTAAATTTGTTTTGCATCAGGCTCCTCTACCCTTATTACTTCCTTTACTTCATCTGCTTTGTGATTCATCTTCATTTGTGTTCCAGGTTTTGATGGGGTGGATATCAATGGCACATGCTTAGCATATGTCAACACCAGGGGTGGGTTTAAACAGGACCAACCTTCCATGGGACAACAGCAGGGGTGGATTTTAAGAGGTCCAAAGCTATTATGGATCATTAGAGAGGGTGGATTTAAATGTGTCCCACCTTGTATGGCCAACACACTAGAAAAGGGGATGTGTGGCTGTAAACTGGACCCCAGAAGGAGACAGTGATGAGAGGGAATATGAAACAATTTGGAAAATGTGATAGAAAGCATTTGGGAAGAGCTGACAGGGGGGGGGGAGGGCGTGAATGGATAGGAGATAACTTGGGAGAGGGGATAGAAGAAGTAGAGAAGGAATAGAAGAGAGGTTTGGCAAAATGGTAGAAACTGCGTAGTGGAGAAGCAATTTGCATTTGACGATGGATTTTAAATTGGGGATGAATTTGGGCGAGGCTGTCGGGCCACGCTGGACAAGCTGAAGGGACGGAGGGGTAGGAGAATGGTATATATAAGGGATGGAGGAAGAATAGGGTAGCTGGGGACAGGAGTAATTTGAGATACAAGAATGGGATATTAAGGGATTGAATTCGTGATAGTAAGGTTTTAGTGTACTATTGTTCTAGTCTGTTGTGGTGGAAAGGGAGGATAGGTGGATCTGGGGAGGTGGGTAAGAAGGATAGGTGGATTTGGGGAGGTGGATAGAGAAGATATGTGGGTCTGGGGAGGAGGATAGGACGAGAGTTAAGTGGGTTACATTATGTTAATCAAGGGTAGGATTGGTTAAGTTAGGATAGCATATTTTACATTAGCTTAGGTGAGGCTCAGATAGGTTACGATACGTTAGGTTACTATACATTAGGGTTATGATACATTAGGTTACGATATGTTAGGTTACAATACGTTAGGTTATGATATGTTAGGTTATGATATGTTAGGTTACGATACGTTAGGTTATGATATGTTAGGTTACGATACGTTGGGTTACGATATGTTAGGTTATGATACGTTAGATTATGATACATTAGGTTACGATACGTTGGGTTACGATATGTTAGGATACAATACGTTAGGTTACGATATGTTAGGTTATTATACGTTAGATTATGATCCGTTAGGTTACAATACGTTAGATTATGATATGGTAGACTACTATACGTTAGAATAATTTAAGTGAACAAAATCACTACAAATCAACTTAACCATGTATGGTTAACCTCATAAGTATGCCTCATTTATAAAAAAAAAAAAATCTTTTTTTTTTTTGCAGACTGAAATTGGTGTTCTCCTGCATGATGGAGTTATCTGCCTTTCCCCTCGACTCTCAGGTTTGCACCATGGAGGTCGCTAGCTGTAAGTGTTTGCCCAAAAAAGTTTATTGTTCAAGCAGAGGGGGGGACTGCATGACTGCTGTTGCATGCTACAAAAAAAAAGAGTCGCAAAAGCTTTTTCTCATGCCGGAAAAAAAAGAAGTAGGAAAATCTTTTTCTGTTGTGGTGTTTTAAGGACAACAAAAGCGTTTTTTTTTAGTCCGACACAGGAAACGCTGTGTTTTATTCTGTGCTGTGAACCTATTCATACAGATGAATAGGTTCACTCATATGTCAAGATGAGTAGGTTCACTCATAGGTCATGATGAGTAGGTTCACTCATAGGTCATGATGAGTAATAACACTCATGTCACCCTGGCAAAGCCAAGCTTATGCACTAAGCTTAGTTTAACAATTCCTCAAAATTTTTCAACAAACTTATCTTAAGCTTAACTATATTCTAAACATGCAGATCCTTGCAAATATTCATATTGCAAATTTATGTTGATTGTGCTGAAGGAAATGCCTAATAATTTTTGTCAAACAAAAACTATTATAAATTGGATCTATTTTGTCTATTGAAGTGGAAATTGCATTTAAATTTTCCTATGAGTTCTTAGAATACAGGCATACATTCATACATACTCATGCATATTCATACAGCTTTCTTAAATTTTGACTAAGGAGTCTTATCTGTATGGAACCTATGTGAGACCATGTGTTGAGTGTGCAGCACTAGCATATAACCCCTCGCCTAAAATGACTAGAAATGGTCCTAGGATATGCAGCAAGACTTGCACTCAGTGTGGGAGCGGCATCCTGAGTGGTCACTCAGTGTGGGAGCGGCATCCTGAGTGGTCACTCAGTGTGGGAGCGGCATCCTGAGTGGTCACTCAGTGTGGGAGCGGCATCCTGAGTGGTCACTCAGTGTGGGAGCGGCATCCTGAGTGGTCACTCAGTATCGTGAGTGACCAGACTGTGGCCAGGGGGAGGGGGTGGTGTGAGGCGTGTCGTGAACACGTGCATATTGCGGGGCATCAATTGCTAACGTACTGGGGGAGAGTTGTGAGGGAGAGAGTTATATGGGAGGAAGTGGTGAGGGTGAGAAATGTTGTGAGGGAGAGAGAATTGTCATGAGAAGAGATGTTGTCACGGAGAGAGTTGTGAGGGAGAAAGCTTTTAGGGGGAGGATTGTTAGGGAGAGAGTTGTCTGGTATGTACCAATAGGAGCTGCCTCGTATGGACCAATAGGAGCTGCCTCGTATGGACCAATAGGAGCTGCCTCGTATGGGCTAATAGGGGCTGCCTGGTATGGACCAATGGAGTTTCCTCACATGGACCAATAGGAGCTGCCTCCAATGGACCAATAGGAGCTGCCTCCTATGGACCAATAGGAGCTGCCTCGTATGGGCTAATAGGGGCTGCCTGGTATGGACCAATGGAGTTTCCTCACATGGACCAATAGGAGCTGCCTCCAATGGACCAATAGGAGCTGCCTCCTATGGACCAATAGGAGCTGCCTCGTATGGGCTAATAGGGGCTGCCTGGTATGGACCAATGGAGTTTCCTCACATGGACCAATAGGAGCTGCCTCCAATGGACCAATAGGAGCTGCCTCCTATGGACCAATAGGAGCTGCCTCGTAGGGACCAATAGGAGCTGCCTCGTAGCTCTGCGAGGAAGCCTTCTGTAGTTTTTTTTTCTCATGCTCATTGATTTAAATTTATCTATGTGACTCGCCAACGTTGTAATTCAAAAGTCTAATAATGTACATATCTATGTTGATGTCTTTGTACTCCTTTTCACTCATCAATGTACTCATTCAACCTCCTCATAGAGTACTCATGCGTCCGTAAGTCTCACCTCATTTCTCTCACCTCTAGAACACTTACGTCTCAGCGATGTGACGTAACAAAAAAATAACATTTTAGCAATGACAATCGCGTTAAAGTTTGGTCCATTACGAGTCCTTTTATAACAGGAGGGAACTCCCTAAACGAGATTCTGTTCACCATTAACATTTTGTTAATTACAGTTACAGTCAATTTACCTTTGGAAAGCACCCATTTAGGCAATTATCGCAAGAGGCCCGGAAAAGTTTTTACAGACTTTTCAGAGAATAAGTTAATAGTTTGTTCATGGCTATATTAGCCTTTATGACTCTGGTTTCTGTAAATTATTTACGACAGATAAAGACTTGTAAATAATGTTACTATACAGAAAATTGGTACCAATTTCGCGGCTTGACACTGGTAAACCCAATTTACTTGTATGAAATAGTGATGACGTTTCTGTCCGTCCTGGACGTTGCTAGGCAGAGGCACAACAACGTCTTGGGTTCGATCCCAGCGTAGGGTAGTACATCCCGGGGGGAAGGTCACTGCTTGATATGGACCCGGGATGGACAGAAACGTGACACTAAGCCTGTATGACGTTAGAGCACTTGGAAGGGATATGAGGACAAGGGACTGGGATATGAGGACAAGGATCTGGGATATGAGGACAAGGAGCTGGGATACGAGGACAAGGAGCTGGGATATGAGGACAAGGCTGGGATATGAGGACAAGGGGCTGGGATATGGGGACAAGGAGCTGGGATACGTGGACAAGGGGCTGGGATATGAGGACAAGGGGCTGGGATAGGACAAAGAGCTGGGATATGAGGACAAGGAGCTGGGATATGAGGACAAGGAGCTGGGATATGAGGACAAGGAGCTGGGATATGAAGACAGGGAGCTGTGATATAAGGACTAGGCGCTGGGATATGAAGACAAGGAACTGGGATATGTCTCCGATGGTCCCACTTGGGACCATCGGAGATCGAACTCCAACCCTGCAAGAAGCTGCTAGGTCCACGCGCAACCCCCCACCAAACCATCCGAATAGCAAGAGACAAAAGAGCATCGCATCTCTCCAGTAGATCACACAGAGCAGCATGCCACCGGAAGTGGAGGCCATAAACCGCCATTAAGAGAAATGTGCACGTGTTCCCCCGAGGCATCTCCCTGGCACTCTCTGACCGCAGCTCCTGCTGGCACGGTCACAACCCTCATTTGTCTCAGCGTAAGGAATGCAACTGGTTTTTTCCTAACCAGAAACGTACACAAATATATAACTGTGTTTTGCCCTGACCGGACACGTACGTGTACGAACCGGAGCAACCCGGTCAAAACTATCGAGGCTGATGTATAGTTTTTTTTTTTGGGTAGATGAATGTAAAGTGGACCCGTCCCCGGTCCGTTGCTACTGGACCGCTTACCGGTACAATTGCATACTGGTACCATATGAACATTTACCAGTATGCTTTAATCACGTGCCGGACAAATGGTTCACTTCCCGGTACAATCGGATAACCAGTACTAATGGAAAATGAATACAAACCATCTAACAAACTATTTGCTTGAAATTTTGTTTGAAGTTGAATATACATATTGCAACTAACCAATTCACAATATTTGTCACAATTTTAATGCCATATTGCAATGCATGTTGAAATTCAAAAAGTTCTCGCAACATACATTTGCATATTGCAACGTAGCTCAATATGCAAAAATTTTTGGGCTTTTCTGTAAACATTGATGTAAATGGTGCGTAGAAACCGGAAGTGGCGGTTATCATAGTTTCATTGGCCAGTATTTCCGTTATTTTTATGTCTTTCTCGCACGTGTGAGACCATTAGAGCAAAGGAAACTGTAGAAGTATTGTCCCATGCAAGGCAGCTCCTATTGGTCCATACGAGGCAGCTCCTATTGGTCCATACGAGGCAGCTCCTATTGGTCCATACGAGGCAGCTCCTATTGGTCCATACGAGGCAGCTCCTATTGGTCCATACGAGGCAGCTCCTATTGGTCCATACGAGGCAGCTCCTATTGGTCCATACGAGGCAGCTCCTATTGGTCCATACTAGGCAGCTGCTATTGGTCCATACGAGGCAGCTGCTATTGGTCCATACGAGGCAGCTGCTATTGGTCCTTGGGTGATAGGTTAGGATCAGCTTAGGTTAAGCTTTAGGGTCAACATAGACCACCAGGAGCCTACACTGTTGACCAAAGGGTCTTTTTGTGAATTTGTTTTGAATTCTGACTGAATGTGTCTATTGTTTTCAGGCTGGCAGCCCCCCCAATGAATTATTAACTCGCCACACACCCTGTGTATATAGGATACACATGCATACATGTGTATGTTGGTTACACATGCATGAATGTGTATGTTGGTTACCATTGCAGAAATCACATTAATAATCTTTCGTGACTGAGCACTCAGTAACGTTATATATATATATATATATATATATATATATATATATATATATACATACATAATTATATATAAAGACATATGTCTACATAACATATAAAGTCTACATAATTATTACAATAGGCCTATTTTTATATATAGGCATACATAATGGAGATTGATCAATAAAGGTGACAACATGTGTCTGTGTTACAGTCTCGAAGACGATGAAGGAGCTGAGCCTGCTGTGGAAGGCTGAGGGACCCGTCAAGATGTACAAGGACTTACGCATGCCGCAGTTTGAGATTAACGACATCGTAGCTACCACCTGTCAAGAGAGCTTCCAGATCGGTGAGTGGTGAAGGCGTTTGTGCCTTCCCAACCTCTTCCTCATCTAATACCTCATGGGTTTTCAGCTTTTTTTTAATGGAATTGACAGTTGTGTAAACAAAAATTGCAACGGGGTTGAGTGTCCATTTGTTGGTCTGTGTGGGGTTGTGTGTCCACTTTGCGGCTCTGACTCTCTATAGTGTATTTCTATCATCCTATGTCCATAGTTCTCTGTACTTTTACATCTTTTATTGGTTTTGTTGTCTACTTCTCTTTGCTGCCTGTTGAACGAGGTGTTAACTTTGCTCTCTCCTTGTCAACGTCCTTCTAATGCGTGATGTAAAGCTGTGGTGCATCTGCATATTTCTGTGAGTAATAACTTCCATCTTATTGGCTCTCTTCTCTCAGTCTCTCGCATTAATATAATCCTTCACATTATTATTGTTTCCACATCTGTAATCTTTCTTCCTCAGGCTGTTTTCTGGTCTAAGTCTCCTCCTTTAGCTCAACGATGGGCTCAAATACGGTAATGGGTGGCCGGTGACTCTTAGGGGTATCTCATACTCTTATTTTTTGTCCTTATCTGCCTTATTTTGGGCACAAAAACGGGTGTAGTGTTGCTTGTGGGACCTCTGCTCTTACTCTTGTTGGTTTCTGTAATGTTAATTTTCAAGAAGTGCTTGTCTGCTGCATCTAACAGTTTTACTCTCCATGGCGTATCACCCGCATTGGGGGTCCTTACTTATTCAGTCTATTTCTGCGTGATTCAAATCTTCAAGTATAAGAGTCCTAGCCCTCGACCTCCTTGCCACTGTGGCTGCCTTTTCTATTACCTTCAGACAATTCTCATCGCATTTATCATATTCTTCCCAAGGCCTCCTGACGTTTAGCTACCGCTATTTTCATTTCCCCCGCTGTTGGGGAAATAGTAAGTACTCTTGCTGATCGGTTTCCTCTGAAAATTGTATTTTCTGAGAGCCCCAGTGTAGTGGGAGCAGTATGACTACACCACCATTGCCTATCTCCACCCAATATTTCCTTATTGATATCATTGTGGGAAGATTACATTTCCTATAACACTAATCAGTTTCGTTTCTGTTATTGCAATAATGTGAAGTTGTACTTCCATCACGCTTTCAAGGAAGTCTACCCCTTTATTTGTAATTCTATCTGCATTTATGTACATAACTTTCATACTACTCATTACTGCTTTGATGCTTTGATTTCTCCCAAGGTGAAGTGTTCCACTTGTTCCACGGCTAATTCTGATAAGAGGGCGTTCGTTGGCCTAGTCACTCCTGCCCATTGCTGTAGATGGCTGCCTCTGTAGGCTGGTTTGAACTCATTATTTGGTTGAACTGATACCTGATTTTCTTGTTCTTGTGCCATTCTTGTGGTACTTTCTGGTCTCCTTGAGGTACTTACTCGTTTTGTTTCTCTTCTTTTCGCAGCTTCCTCACTATCCATCTTCAACATGTCATTGAAGATGGATTATGAGGAACATTCCCATTGTATATATTGTGCCATCCCATTTGGAACATTCCAAGCCTACAGCAGTGTTCCAGTTCCCTAATTTGCCTCATTAGCCTCTAGTGTGGAGAGAACTCCTGAAATCTTCCTCAGGTCCTCCACCTCTCCTCCTCCTCTACCATGTGTCTCCCTCTGGTCTTATGGCTCAAGAGAGCACATATGGGTGAACGTTTTAGAGTATAATACTAGTGTATGTGATGCTGGATGGGCGGAGTGTTTTTGGCTCAATACCTGCTCTAATGTGTCCCCATTTGTCTCGTCCATCACCGGGAGAGTGCTGGCCCGCCCCATGAAAGTGGCATGATGGGTAATGTGGGGGATGATAATGACGAGTAATGAGCTGTGTGGGTTTTTTTTCTGCTCATGCCTGAAAGCTAATATTAGTGGAAATGAAAATAACATGTACGCCTCTATTGTGTGTGTCGCCATCTGTTTGTGTTTCTCTCTCTCTCTCTCTCTCTCTCTCTCTCTCTCTCTCTCTCTCTCTCTCTCTCTCTCTCTCTCTCTCTCTCTCTCTCTCTCTCTCTCTCTCTCTCTCTCCCCTCTCTCTCTCTCTCTCTCTCTCTCTCTCTCTCTCTCTCTCTCTCTCTCTCTCTCTCTCTCTCTCTCTCTCTCTCTCTCTCTCCCCCTCTCTCTCTCTCTCTCTCTCTCTCTCTCTCTCTCTCTCTCTCTCTCTCTCTCTCTCTCTCTCTCTCTCTCTCTCTCTCTCTCTCTCTCTCTCTCTCTCCACCTACACCAACCCCTCATCATCATCACCATACTAAACACTCTCAAACTCTCTTTATCCAAACGTTTCATACCTCGGGCCAGAGGGGCGGCGACACGCCTTCACGGAAAAGTAAAAAGTTGTCGTTGGGAATATCGTATTATTTTGCCCTTGCATAAAAGTACATACTAAATTGTACTGCATTGTAAATACAAACAATATATTCCCTTACAGTATGTATCCCCCAGGAGGCCTGGTCGAGGACCGGGCCGGGGGAACGCTAAGCCCCGAAACCATCTCAGGGTAACCATCCCAAGTTCTTAGGGCTCTGGATATACCAACATCCCTGAACATATATATATCCCAGTTTATCATGGATATACCAACACCCATATCTATATATATATATATATATATATGAAAATGAAAACTCACACCCCAGAAGTGACTCGAACCCATACTCCCAGAAGCAACGCAACTGGTAACAACAGGGCGCCTTAATCCGCTTGACCATCACGGCCGTCAAAAGGAAGTGATAGCCGAGGCTATTTGAGCCACTTCCCCGACGGCAACTCGGATGGTCGAGTTGGACCATATGGGAGTATGGGTTCGAGTCACTTCTGGGGTGTGAGTTTTCATTCGCATATAGTCCTGGGGACCATTCAGGCTTGTTCGCATATATATATATATATATATATATATATATATATATATATATATATATATATATATATATATATATATATATATATATATATATATATATATATATATATATATATATCACTAAGAACTCTTTGACCAATCCTGGCCGGGTCAAAGAGTTCTTAGTGATATATGGCTTGCGCGTTCATGCAGCTTTCTCACATATATATATATATATATATATATATATATATATATATATATATATATATATATATATATATATATATATATATATCCCAGCTTCTCACAGGGATGAAATAAATTTGCCAAATAATATATATACTTTTTCAGGTTTATGACTTTGATGTTCATACTTTTATTTTTAGAGTTTGTCGTTCAGACTTTCACTTTCAGACATTCACGTTCAGTAATTAACGTTCAGACTTTAAAGGTTCAGACTTTACACGTTCAGACATTAATGAATAAATTTAGCCTTCCGCACCTTCCGTAATTTGTTCTGTTCCCTCTTGGGTTAATCCAGGTCTTTTATTTTATGGGTTTTGTCTTAAATATGATGTTTAGAGATGATTTATTGTTGTTTATTTTGGTGTTCTCTGGTGTTCTCTGTTGTTCTCTCGTTCTCTGTTCTCTGGTTTCCTGTTGTTCTCTGGTGTTCTCTGACCCATGACCTGACTCTGACCCATACTACGTCTAAAAATGGAGACGATTGTAATGTACACAAATGTTTGCTTCCATTAGAGATAACATCGATTTTGGTTGCAATGTTTACAAACGTGATGCCTGTGTGTTTGAGGTCGGCCGCCGCTCGGGCGAGCATCGCCTGAGCGGAGCTTGAGTCAAGGGTGCTTGTCCTTACCTCACCTCACCTTGCTTCTCCCCCCCCCCCCCTAGAGACAAACAAGAGGTAATCCATTATGTTTACACGAAGAAACAAAAAACAATTGAGCAGCGTCATTCTTGCTTCTTGTTTGCTGCCCGTGTCCCTCCGGTCAAGTTTCTTGAAGGCAACTTGTCTTGTTTATTTATGGCAGTCATTTGTCTTGACGGGGGGGGGGGGAGGGGGTTCCTCCACTTACAGGGTGGAGGTGGCTCCCTCCTCCACTCACAGGGTGGGGGTTATCATCATACTCATCATAATAAAGGCAGAGACCTATGAATATTAAATATATCAACACATAATAGAACACGGAACAGTGGGTATGTACCGGTTAAATATAGGTTCAGGAAAGACATGGGTAAATACTGGTTTGTAAATTGTTGGTTTGTGGAACACATTACCGGGTAACATAATAGACGTGGCGTCCCTGGGTTGTTTCAAGTGTAGGTTAGACAAGTGCGTGAATGCGTTTGGGTAGGTATAAATCAGAGCTGCCTCGAATGAACCAAAGAATCTGCCTAGTATAGACCAATAGAAGCTACCTCGAATGGTCCAATAGGAGCTGCCTCGTATGGACCAATAGGAGCTGCCTCGTATGGACCAATAGGAGCTGCCTTGTATGTACCAATAGGAGCTGCTTCGTATCGCTCAATACATTGCTTCGATTGGACTAATAGCTGCTACCTCGTATAGACCAATAGGAGTTGCATCGTATGGACCAATAGCTGCTGCCTCGTATGGACCAATAGCTGCTGCCTCGTATGGACCAATAGGAGCTGCCTCGTATGGACCAATAGGAGCTGCCTCGTATGAATCAATAGCAGCTGCCTCGAATTGGCCAATAGGTCTCTCGCTGCAGTTTCCTATAGTCTTAGGGTCTTTGATTTAGAGTTAAGGTCCTGACGTGCAGATGCTAGAAGCTTGGAGACGTAAGAGGCGCCTCGCCGCCCCAGATTCGTCTCGCTGGTAAAATAATTCTTCTGTCAGGTCAACGTTAAGGCTTTTATATGAAGGTAATTGGTGAGGCCTTGCTTCCTCTTCGCTGGGTTACGAGGTCGTAAACCACTTGACCGGGGAGGTCTCGCTCATTGCTGCCTCTTGCGACGCGCTCAGTCCTTTCGAGTGGTTGGCTGCGCTTCTTGCAGGGTCGGTGCTCGATCCCCGATGGTCCAAGTGGTTGGGCAGCGTTCCTTCACTCTGTTCTCATAGCCCAGCTCCTTGCCCTTATATCCCAGCTCCTTGTCCTCATATCCCAGCTCCTTGTCCTCATATCCCAGCTCCTTGTCCTCATATCCCAGCTCCTTGTCCTCATATCCCAGCTCCTTGTCCTCATATCGCAGCTTCTTGTCCTCATATCCCAGCTTCTAAATCCTCCAAGGAATGAACAATCCAGGGACTTACCCATCCGCAGAATGAACCATCCAAGGAGTTATAACCTCACAAAGAATCAACCGCTCAATGTAACATTAATGCTACAAAATGGTCAGCCGATTTAAAATAGACTTAACGATCGATCTATGTGAAAGAGACGAACGATCGTTCGGTCTATTTCTGTTTGTTGTAATTAAAACACTTATTGGTTTGTCGTGACCTGGGGGTTCACACACAGCTTAATGGATCAACTTGAAATAGGCTTGGTAAGATCACCCGCAAAATTGTGAAAGAGCTTTTTAACTCAAAATAGGAAATACAAATAGGAAATGTGTTAAGAAAGCACTGTAATGGGTAGTGCTGTTTAGCACATAGTATGAAATAGGTTTGATAAGTCATATTTAACACTAAATATAAATAAAGTCGGTAAGTTAGCAGTAAAATTAGAATATATATTTAACATAAACTAGGAAATTGGATTGTAAGATCACACTAAACTAGGAAGTCCTATTTAACTTTATAAAGGAAATAGGCTTGGTAAAGAAAAAATAAAATGGGAAGTGAAATTTTGCACAGCATATGCAATAGGTTTCATAAATGATAGTTATGAAATATTATTTATCACACGTAATAACACAAAAAAGGAAATGGGGTTGGTAAGACTACATTAAAATAGGGAGAGATTGTTGACACAAAATAGGAAATAGGCTTATAAACACACAGAAATCACAATTGCGTGATGCATCAAATGAATTCATTTCATTCATCACGTTATTGTGATTTGTGTGTGTAATGAAGTAAGGGCGAAGAGGGAGAACGGCCTATTGACATAGCTCGAGTGCAGGGGGGAGTTGTGTAAAACCCTGGTTTGTGTCTCGGAGAGGCTGCAGGATCCAGTTAGTTCAGTAGAACTTCGGTTTCAACTCCTTTTGACCATGTCGTAGCTCAGTCGATTCAGGCAGCGTCTGGGATGCTCTTGGACGCTGGTTCGAATCCTCATCACGGCCCTTGTGGATTTGTTCATAGGCTTACAAAGATAGGGTCAAAAGTGATATTTGCCATATTTAAAAATTGAACTGATAATGTATACTGACCATTTGGGAATTTGTTCAAAATTGTTCAACTTGTTCCTCTTAATATCGGTCAAGTTCCTATACTCTTATAGAGGAAAATAACACTTAATTTTGAACCTGAACGAATAAAACTGAAAAATTAATGTATTTTGAATAAATTACTGCTGAACTCTTCAAAACAAAAAAAAATCCTACGGTACAGTGGTGTACGTCCTAGATTCGCAATCACAGTTCCCGGGTTCGATTCCCAGGCAGGACAGAAACGGTTGGGTACCTTTCCTTACACCTGATGCCTCTGTTCACCCAGCAGTAAATAAGCACCTGGGAGGTAGAGAACTGTTGTCGGTTGACTGCTACTCATTTGTCCCAGAAAACGTCAATATTACCATGCTGTTAATTTCACCGAACCACCAACATTTTGACGCAAATGGTCGCTAACGTCGATATTGCAATGGATCAAGTGTGAGGACAGGTTTGTTATTTTGGAAGTCAAGCGTAACAAAATTTAGGCATAACGGCGTGTTTTAGCCGTGCTGTTCTTATCGTATTATCGCCGCTTATCCGAATTTATCCGTTGATAACGGTATGATCATCAACTTTAGGGCGAGCTGAGCTTTTGATATCCGGATATCTGAACATTTTACCTCGAACAACAGTGTGATATGGACGATTATTATTAAATAGTTCCGCTCGTCATATCCATATATATATATATATATATATATATATATATATATATATATATATATATATATATATATATATATAGGGAGCTTGTGTCTCCCCTCACAGACAACTACAGCTGTAGTCTCCCCCCCACACAGACAACTACAGCTGTAGTCTCCCCCCACACAGACAACTACAGCTGTAGTCTCCCCCCCACACAGACAACTACAGCTGTAGTCCCCCCCCCCGCAGACAACTACAGCTGTAGCCTCCCCCACAGGTAACTACAGCTGTAGTCCCCCCCGCAGATAACTACAGCTGTAGTCTCCCCCCACACAGGTAACTACAGCTGTAGTCTTCCCCCACAGGTAACTACAGCTGCCTGGTGGCAGAGTTCCACATGAGAAGGGCCATCGGGTTCCACCTGGTGCAGAGTTACCTGCCCACCATCCTCATAGTGGTCATCTCCTGGGTCTCCTTCTGGATGGATGTTGACTCCGTGCCGGGCCGCACCACTCTTGGAGTCACCACTCTCCTCACTGTCTCCTCCAAGTCCTCAGGTGAGCCTCCACGCTCCTCCAAGTCCTCAGGTGAGTCACCACTCTCCTCACTGTCTCCTCCAAGTCCTCAGGTGAGTCACCACTCTCCTCACTGTCTCCTCCAAGTCCTCAGGTGAGTCACCACTCTCCTCACTGTCTCCTCCAAGTCCTCAGGTGAGGCTCCACGCTCCTCCAAGTCCTCAGGTGAGTCACCATACTCCTCCAAGACATCACATGAGGATAATGACATATATACTCCTTCCTTGCACATAATGCAGGACTAGAGTAAACTGTCAGTGTACAGAGAGAGAGAGAGAGAGAGCCGAGGTAAACCTTCCGGACAATACTTCATGTTTACACAATGGACCAGAGTGGGGCCGAGCTAGGGGTCCCACCCCTCCATTATGTATATTTGGGGTAACTATATGAAAAGTGTGACGTTATCTTTCCGCGGGAAGGAGCGGCTTGTTGAAGCCTCGAGGGCAGAGGGGAAAGGGTGAGAGAGGAAGAGGGAGAGTGTGTGAGAGTGAGAGAGAGAGAGAGAGAGAGAGAGAGAGAGAGAGAGGGGGCGAGGCGTGTATAGGGGAGATATGGGGAGGAGAGGGGAGAGTGAGATGAAAGGAGAGGGGAACTATGAGATAAACGAGGAAGGTTGTGGAAGCTGGAAAAGATGAGACTTGCGGAGATTGAAAAATATGATGCTATATATATATATATATATATATATATATATATATATATATATATATATATATATATATATATATATATAAAACACCTAGAAATTCTTTTGCTACCAAATTTATAGCTAATTTCAAATATCAGATGACAAGGTGTAGCAAAAACCTTTTCTGGAGTCGCTTCTTACGAAGAAATTTCCGGTATATGTCTTCCAAGTCGGAAAGTTTAAAGTTAAATATAATCCCAAAATTCTGAAGTTGTTTCTGGGATGCGAGCCAGGAGAATGGCGACGGCTTTGACATAGACTTTTATTTTTGGTTTGGGCTTAAGGCCTGTGAACTTCTACAGGGTTATTAAGTCCACTAATATAGCTTGCTGACCAACCAGCAAGTCTAGTGTTGGCCTTAAGGCCTATGTACCTCTGGATGTGTTTTGACCGACACAATAGCTTACTATGCTTGGTAAAAATTTGGAGTGGCTGTGGCATTCTTGCTCAGTTCTCTACACAGTCTACAGGCAGTGATGTGGTGGAGGCTGACTCCATACACAGTTTCAAATGTACATATGATAGAGCCCAGTAGGCTCAGGAACCTGTACACCAGTTGATTAACAGTTGAGAGGCGGGACCATAGAGCCAGAGCTCAACCCCAGCAAACACAACTAGGTGAGTAATAATTAAACGGCCTTTTTTATACACAGTCATATTTTGTGCGACCCATCAACACTCCCCTCAGGTGCCATCGTGTTTGGCCCACAGGTTGAAAGTCCTCAACTTCAAGTTTCAAAAGACACACTGCAGAGGCAATTAGACTTCTTCACCAAGACACAACAAACTTTGGAAAGTCTTCACGCTAAAGACAATGAACCAATAACGAAGGAAAAACAGGTCTCAGCCTGCTAGCAGGAGTCAGGAGTCGTCTACTACTCTACCAACCTGTGCTAAAAAAAAAAAAAAAACAGTTTTCGAGTATAAATTTCAGGAGGGGGAAACTATCAAATAAATGTGTTGAGTGCCTGACGAGAGACAGTCGCCCCACCCTCGTGGAGGCAATTACACCTGCAAACTGTCATATATATTAAAGTATTTGTAACTATGTAACAGCTTAATGACGCGATTCGACGTATATTACGACACAGACTAAACAATGAGGACGTTGATGTCATCCTGTCCTCTCACTTGACACGTCGCGTATGTTACGGAATCTCAGTGATTTGTCACTTGGAACTACGATAAGGCCTGCGGTGCCATCCCGACTGCTGCTTATTAAGCTTTACAATAATGCCATTATAAGGCATTATATTGCCTTATAATGCTCTTTATAAGGTCCACGGAGAGAGCAGAGTCAAACTTGTAGTTGGAAACCCGTCCTCAGACTCTGGTGGTCCAAGCTGGGGCCGACCCCAACCCGTCCTCAGACTCTGGTGGTCCAAGCTGGGGCCGACCCCAACCCGTCCTCAGACTGGTGGTCCAAGCTGGGGCCGACCCCAACCCGTCCTCAGAATGGTGGTCCAAGCTGGGGCCGACCCCAACCCGTCCTCAGACTGGTGGTCCAAGCTGGAGCCGACCCCAACCCGTCCTCAGACTGGTCGTCCAAGCTGGGGCCGACCCCAACCCGTCCTCAGACTGGTCGTCCAAACTGGGGCCGACCCCAACCCGTCCTCAGACTCTGGTGGTCCAAGCTGGGGCCGACCCCAACCCAAGGGTCATCATATTAATATTAATATTCATCAATATTAACAAACTCTACTAAAAAATCTATTTTCGTATCAATGAAGTAACATAATTATGTATTAGACTTGTATATGGTTGGTCCTAGGACATATTAAGCGTTAAAACTCTGTTGGTAATTATTTGTACTCGTATAGGCGGGTGAAGCATTTACGGAGGTGCGAGTCGAACACAGGTCGCCAGGGAGACGTTTTTTTTACCTTTTATTAGATAATTGTTTTAATGTCATCAGATGTGTGTCGTGTAATATGTTTTTCTTACATAATCAGGGGGTTCGGCGCCTGGATTAACGAGCACTTAGTCTTGATTTATGAGGACGGGCTGTATTGTTTATGACGGGCTGTATTATTTATGACGGGCTGTATTATTTATGACGGGCTGTATTATTTATGACGGGCTGTATTATTTATGACGGGCTGTATTATTTATGACGGGCTGTATTGTTTATGACGGGCTGTATTGTTTATGACGGGCTGTATTGTTTATGATGGGCTGTATTATTTATGACGGGCTGTATTATTTATGACGGGCTGTATTATTTATGATGGGCTGTATTATTTATGACGGGCTGTATTATTTATGACGGGCTGTATTATTTATGATGGGCTGTATTATTTATGACGGACTGTATTATTTATGACGGGCTGTATTATTTATGAGGACGGACTGTATTATTTATGAGGACGGACTGTATTATTTATGAGGACGGACTGTATTATTTATGTGGACGGACTGTATTATTTATGAGGACGGACTGTATTATTTATGTGAACGGACTGTATTATTTATGAGGACGGACTGTATTATTTATGTGGACGGACTGTATTATTTATGTGAACGGACTGTATTATTTATGAGGACGGACTGTATTATTTATGTGGACGGACTGTATTATTTATGTGAACGGACTGTATTATTTATGAGGACGGACTGTATTATTTATGTGGACGGACTGTATTATTTATGTGAACGGACTGTATTATTTATGAGGACGGACTGTATTATTTATGTGGACGGACTGTACTATTTATGTGAACGGACTGTATTATTTATGAGGACGGACTGTATTATTTATGTGGACGGACTGTATTATTAATGTGAACGGACTGTATTATTTATGAGGACGGACTGTATTATTTATGTGGACGGACTGTATTATTTATGTGGACGGACTGTATTATTTATGTGGACGGACTGTATTATTTATGTGAACGGACTGTATTATTTATGTGAACGGACTGTATTATTTATGAGGACGGACTGTATTATTTATGAAGACGGACTGTATTATTTATGTGAACGGACTGTATTATTTATGTGAACGGACTGTATTATTTATGAGGACGGACTGTATTATTTATGTGGACGGACTGTATTATTTATGAGGACGGACTGTATTATTTATGTGGACGGACTGTATTATTTATGAGGACGGACTGTATTATTTATGAAGACGGACTGTATTATTTATGTGAACGGACTGTATTATTTATGAGGACGGACTGTATTATTTATGTGGACGGACTGTATTATTTATGAGGACGGACTGTATTATTTATGAGGACGGACTGTATTATTTATGTGAACGGACTGTATTATTTATGAGGACGGACTGTATTATTTATGAAGACGGACTGTATTATTCATGAGGACGGACTGTATTATTTATGAGGACGGGTTGTATTACTTATGAGGACGGACTGTATTATTTATGTGAACGGACTGTATTATTTATGAGGACGGACTGTATTATTTATGTGAACGGACTGTATTATTTATGTGAACGGACTGTATTATTTATGAGGACGGACTGTATTATTTATGTGAACGGACTGTATTTTTTATGAGGACGGACTGTATTATTTATGTGAACGGACTGTATTATTTATGAGGACGGACTGTATTATTTATGAAGACGGACTGTATTATTCATGAGGACGGACTGTATTATTTATGTGAACGGACTGTATTATTTATGAGGACGGACTGTATTATTTATGAGGACGGACTGTATTATTTTTGAGGACGGGTTGTATTACTTATGAGGACGGACTGTATTATTTTTGAGGACGGGTTGTATTACTTATGAGGACGGACTGTATTATTTATGTGAACGGACTGTATTATTTATGAGGACGGACTGTATTATTTATGAGGACGGACTGTATTATTTTTGAGGACGGGTTGTATTACTTATGAGGACGGACTGTATTATTTATGAGGACGGAATGTATTATTTATGAGGACGGACTGTATTATTTATGAGGACGGACTGTATTATTTATGAGGACGGACTGTATTATTTATGTGGACGGACTGTATTATTTATGTGAACGGACTGTATTATTTATGAGGACGGACTGTATTATTTATGTGGACGGACTGTATTATTTATGTGAACGGACTGTATTATTTATGTGAACGGACTGTATTATTTATGAGGACGGGCTGTATTATTTATGAAGACGGGCTGTATTATTTATGTAAACGGACTGTATTATTTATGAGGACGGGCTGTATTATTTATGAAGACGGGCTGTATTATTTATGTGAACGGACTGTATTATTTATGTGAACGGACTGTATTATTTATGTGAACGGACTGTATTATTTATGAGGACGGGCTGTATTATTTATGAAGACGGGCTGTATTATTTATGTAAACGGACTGTATTATTTATGAGGACGGGCTGTATTATTTATGAAGACGGGCTGTATTATTTATGTGAACGGACTGTATTATTTATGTGAACGGACTGTATTATTTATGAGGACGGACTGTATTATTTATGAGGACGGACTGTATTATTTATGAGGACGGACTGTATTATTTATGAAGACGGACTGTATTATTTATGTGAACGGACTGTATTATTTATGAGGACGGGCTGTATTATTTATGAAGACGGGCTGTATTATTTATGAAGACGGACTGTATTATTTATGTGAACGGACTGTATTATTTATGAAGACGGGCTGTATTATTTAAGTAGTGAGACAATGCTTTATGACGTGAGAGGTTCACTCCGTATCTAGGCTTATATTTACATATATTGCATTGATGAGTATCTATACAGATACTGTATTTATGAATACATTATTATTATTATTAACATCTTTACTGACAAAATTAATTACAATTTGGCTAATCTGAGGATTTCAATTAAGTCTTATTAAAGTGAGAATAATGCTGGTATTCACTGTCATGCAGGACAGAGGGTCATACATAAGACAATAGGTCTAAACTGCAGGCGGAAGCACATATATATATCATGGTTACAATCAATGTTTTAATGTATGAATATGTAAAAACAACTTTCCATTGTGCACTGCCACACAAGGGCAGAGATGGTTCATAAGTGATGCAGCTTAGAAGTAGTATAAATATAATTGTTTTCATTCTTTAAAATGGACAAGCACATTTTGGATAGATTGTTGGGATGTCGTCCAGAACACCTGAGTCGATGAAATAGTTACACAGTTGGTGGTACAAGAGGCCAGGAGGTCTAAAGTCCTTTACGGTTTCACATTCAATAATATAATGTTCTAGTGAATGCATTAAACGTTTATCACAGTTTACAATCTGAATATTCTGGTAGTGGCTCAGCTTCACTAACCTGCCAGATGTGTCTATAGCCAAGGCGAATTACCACAATGACTACATCACATTGCCTAGTCCGGTTACTGTGCTGACCATACAAATACCTATTATTACAAAACTTGTCATAACTTTTAATACTGCAGCTTTCAGGTCTCTGGGCATTTCTTAGTTCTTCTAAATCTGAATTAATTTCTTTAATTTGTATGTTTCTAATAATTGCATTAGATAGTCCAAAGTCATAATCAGTGTTTTCTTTCCTGCAAGCCTCATTGTCCAATCGATCTACAAAGTCATGTTTTCCAACTCCAACATGGAATGGGATCCACACAAATTTTATACAATAGTTATTATCATTGGCAAAAATTACATTCCATTTAATATTACAAGCTACTTCAGACATACATTGTGATGGGTTATTTAAAGATTGCAGAGCACTTTTAGAGTCACAGAATCTCACTCCACCATTGAGCTATATTGTATACATGAATATGTGTGCATGTATCGCGAATATTTATTATCTACACACTCAGATGTAGACTTAGATGTAACTCAGATGTATATTAACAAATTGCTTAAAAAAATTGAGAGGCGGGAGACCTTCAAAACACTAACATGTCTTGATGTAAATAATTATTGAAATACTAAGATGATGTAAATGTCAATATCAGTTTAAATACCAAGATGACATTATCATAATAACCAATATTCATTTTTTTTAAATATTCGACACATAACTTGACACTATATACATAATTTTCTTGCTGCAGGAAACCCGTAACTAATGCCGAAATATTCTGGCCCGGCTGCTAACACAATTTCACACGAATTTGTAAATAATTCCCCCCCTCCCTCCCCCACCCAATGCAAAATGAGAACATCGTTTACATGAGGTAAATATATTGTTTTTTGAAATTGACTTTTGTAGATAGTTTTTTTACACTTTTCTTGTAAGTTTATTTTTTGGCTGTACACTGTTCTTAGTGAGTTTGGCTGTTTATTGGTGTTACATGGAGTACAGCCAACAGTGTTGGTGGTACACGGAGTACAGCCAACAGTGTTGGTGTTACACGGAGTACAGCCAACAGTGTTACAGGAGACGCGCCAATACTCTCCACTTCACGTCGTTCACAACATGTTTAGACTGTGATTGAATTTTAATGAGATTTCTTTTTTTTTTTGTATTTTTTTATTAACAGGCAATTTTCTAAAGAAAAAACAAATACACACTTTTCCCAACCGCATTTTACGCTTTCTCACCTAATATATATATTTATATATTTATCCTAGGATATAAAAAAATCGAATTTTAACAGTTTATACATATGCAATAAATGTCAGGCAAATTATTTTGTTCACTAGTTTTAACGACAGCAATTAGAAATATATATATATATATATATATATATATATATATATATATATATATATATATATATATATATATATATATATATATATGCTAGCACTAACTAATATCCATAACCATGTATTATTTTTATTTGAATAAAGGATTCCTTTCACAGGGATTCAGGGAGGCCTGCCCCAGGTGTCCTACGTGAAGGCCATAGATGTGTGGATGGGCGCCTGTACAGGTAGGCTGCTCCTCCTCCACTATTGTCCTTGTTGCCATGCCCCAGTATTGTATGGACCAGGTATGTGTTGCCATGTTAAGATATGGCAACACGTATTGTTGCCATATCTTAATATGGTAACACTGTACATATATGCGTGTGTCCAGTGTTGCCGGATCGTTTTTTTGTGTCAAAATGGGCCTTTTTTGGCTAATTGTTTGTCAAATTTTTTTTTTATTAGTTGGTCAGAACACGTGTTTTTTGTGTGTACAGATGGTTAAAATGGCCGTTTTTTGTGTATGGATTGTTTAAAATGGTCGTCTTGTATATATTTTCCCATACAGTATTGCACATATATACGGAGACATTTATACCCTGAATAACCTGGATTTGTGAAATTAGTATTTTGAGTAATGTTTAAGTGCAAATTTAACTTATGCTGTGAGCTAGCATCTTGCAATTGCAAAATTAACAATTGCAAGTTAAGCAGACACCTTGATGGAGATTTTCCAGCAGATACCTGAATAGTGCTCCAGCAGACACCTGGCTGGTGTTTCCCAGCAGACACCTGGCTGTGTTTTCCAGCAGACACCTGGCTGTGTTTCCCAGCAGACACCTGGCTGTGTTTTCCAGCAGACACCTGGCTGTGTTTTCCAGCAGACACCTGGCTGTGTTTTCCAGCAGACACCTGGCTGTGTTTTCCAGCAGACACCTGGCTGTGTTTCCCAGCAGACACCTGGCTGTGTTTTCCAGCAGACACCTGGCTGTGTTTTCCAGCAGACACCTGGCTGTGTTTTCCAGCAGACACCTGGCTGTGTTTTCCAGCAGTCACCTGTGTGGAATTAATCAAATCGATTTAATATCTCTTGACACAGTAACATCGTTTATCGGTGAATATTCGTAGTAAAAGGTGAAATGGCTTTGGCTAAAGATGATCAAATGAAGTTTTCAATGAATAAGACGACTCAAGAGAGAGATGAAATGAGAACTTTAATCTAGATCACCGCCACGTTACTCACACCTGAGTCGTAAAGCTCGTGGGTGAATGAGTATCAAAATTCTTTATGGGTAAGAATTCTTCCTCACCCAACCCTCATAAATCCGGCTAAAATAGAGAAAGTTTATGGGACTACATGATTCTTTTTGGCCTACTCTGTATATTATGTAAAAGGCAGCTGTTGTGTGTGTGCTTCTTTGCGGCCTATTATAGTACATATATGTACTAAATAAGGCCTAAGATAACGAATATTAGGCATGTGATTGGTTATTTAGGCCTAAGGAAGGTCAAAGGTTATTCCGTTTTAGTTTTTAAAATACCATTTAGGACTGTCATTTTTTAAATGTCATTTAGAAATGTTGGGATTACAATAGTTCATATATTGTACGTTCCGTCTATTGTGGATTAACTGCCATAAAGATAACAAGAGATTATTAAATATGATCCTAGGAAAATAGGCCTATGCTGTAGGGGCTTAATTCTGTCTAAAACACCGGAATTTGGAACTCGGTGTTGATAGTATCAAAATTATGGACATTAAGTGAGAGGACAAGATGTCTTAGGATTCTAATCACTGATTAATGCTAAAACACTAATCAGTGATTAATCCTTGGGCGCTAATCAGAGATTAATCCTAGGACACATCAGATTTCACTCATACAAAATAAAATAACAAAACTCAAAATAATTTTGCGAGAGGAATTTATGAGCTGAAAATCAGACACTAATATAAAAATGTAACTCCTGAAATTAGACAAATTAACTTGCTCCGAAAATTTAATTTGAACATTTCTCTCTCTCTGTCCTTTCTCTCTCCCCTCTCTACTATCCATCAACTCTCCTTCCCCCCACCCTTCTGCTGTCCATCAAGTCTACCTCTATCCTCCCTCCCTTCCTCCCGCTTCAAGCATACATAACTATTCCACCGTAGAGTAAGGGATCCCTCGAGGCTAATTGCTCAGAAACTCGTATTCTGCTCTCCTCGAAAATGTTTCCCCGTGTCCTAATCGACGTTCTAAATTATCGTTGATGGATTTTTACGGCGTCGTGGCTACACACGCTGAATATCCTTACTCGAATATTAATAGAGGGAGGAATATTGCCACCTCTTTTCGGCATCTTTTCGACGTTAAATTGTGACAGCTTTTCGGCGTAATATTCTGAAGGCTTTTCGACGTATATGTGTAACGCATCAACACAAGCACTCAACACAACACCCATTAACATGACGAATCTTTTGAGTCACCATTCAAAGCAACTCTTCATATCAGACTTTTAACAGACAAATATCTTTCTCCGTCTGAGAGAAACACCTGGAAACTAATATTTACTCAGCTGTTCCAGATTATTGAAAATATCGTCATGAAACATTTACAAGACATTGTAAAAGAGTAAAGGCTTTTTTTTTTCCTACGATAAACATTCCCTTTTATTTACACAATGGTAACCAGAGTATATACATGTTGTCTGTCGTTCTTGAACACTGTTAGAGATGTGTTAGTCCAACCTGTCCTCTTACAAAGAACGTCGCATTTTGGTCGTATGCGTTACATAAAGCCAAAAATTGTCGTACTAGAAAATAGAAGCGGCTGGCGAAAGTGATGTACTGTACCGTTTTCTGTTTTGGGTCCTCTAGGTAGGTGAGGAGAGAACACTTTAAAGTGACCGTTTTTTTGACGATGGGGAAACCTTAAGAGGATATATATATATATATATATATATATATATATATATATATATATATATATATATATAAGAAAGAGAGAGAGGTTAGGCTTGCAAAGGCTTTATAAATTACATGTGCGAGTTCTCAACCATTCTTATGATTTCAAATGTATCTGGAAGAAGAAGAATATTTCAAGTATTTGAGACTTTCTAAGGCTTTGGGATAAATGTATTTCATCGGATATTTAAATGTTGAAAATTTTAAGACAAGAAATTATTGAAATATTTTTTGTTTCATTCAGTTGGGTGTAGTGAAGTGTACGAAACATGTGTTCCGTATCATTCAGCAGGCGGGTGTAGTGAAGTGTACGAAACATGTGTTCCGTATCATGCAGTAGGCTGTAGCGCGACGTATAGTGTGCCTGGCGGAGTCCACGGACGAGAGTTCGAACCTGTTACATTGCCCAAATATTTTTTGTTTATTTTTGTTCTGAAGATTTATATATCAGAATAATAGTATTTGTTTTCTACTTTGAATCTTAGTTTTTTCCAACTCCTCATTTGTGGAGTTCAGGAGTTTTGCGCGCGCGCAAGTTTCTATTTAGTCCCTAAATTGCGCATCTTTTAAAGGTACTTCATTGAACTGCGTATGATTAAACATGGTTAACAAATCAAATGGAGGAATATCGTGTATACCAATTGTTGCACAGGAGGTAATTGTAGTTAACGACTGTTGCAGTGTAGAAGTTAATTTACAAATCTCCTCCATTTAACCTATTTACTCATTACTATATATATATATATATATATATATATATATATATATATATATATATATATATATAGTATATATATATATATATATATATATATATATATATATATATATATATATATATATATATATATATATATATATATATATATATATATATATCGATTCAGGTACTCTTCTTATCCTAAGCTGGATCCCCATTGTTAAGACTGTCGCCCATTCAGTTATTGACAATACCCAACTTTCTTTACCGTGACTGGTCGAGAGTCGCTAACCAACCACCAGACACTCGAAGCCAATTTCCGAAAACGGTCCATCTTTCCTCGGACGTTTCAGGCCAAGGAATGAGCCGGATACTGCTTGAAGGTTTCATACGAGCCGTGCAACTGACTTTTAATGTTCAGAATCCTAAGTGGATCACGTGTGTTGGCTGATGTTAAAATGTATCTGTCTGTAAAGGAAAAAGTTTGTTAGTACGAAGTTGAAGGCCAGACGCTTGATGATGAATTAACCCAATTTTTCCTCAAATGACCAAAGGCAGACTTGCTCGACTAGAGCAATAGAGCCTTCTAGTGCTGAGAGCCACTCATGCTGGGGAGTTTTTATTTGCTTCTTTTAATGCTGCCTTAATTAAGACAGGTGGGTCAATTGTGCTAATATAGCCCTTTGCCTCACCACCTTTATCCTCATCAAACACGAGTGTGTCTGCAGCAGTGAAGCAATGGACCAATATGGCCTCTATGGTCTCATGTGCCGGAGGGAGAGCTGGCCAGACACGAGGACGTGAAGGGTACTATCAAGAGGAGCCTCGCCAGGGTCGCCTGTCCAGCACAGTGAGAACCACAACTGAACAAACCTAGTAATGGTCAGAGACGTCTATAGATCTTGTCACCAGGATGCAACGGAGAGGCAGTAAGCAGGTGGTTTAGGATTACACGTGTGCCTCAACTCCAGCCTACCCCTGTCTCCAGTATGGTGGATCAAAGGTAGCTGGTACTGCTACTCTCAGGGAGACCTTGTTCCAAGAGTAATAGCAGTATCATGGGGCAAAGGTGCAATCAGGTTGTTAAATGCGATGAGTGATAAACTCATTATGAAAACGAAAAGAACCAAGAGCCACCAGTTTTCTGGTCCAGCGCCCCAGAATTGCGATTCAGGAAGGAAATACTTGCTGCGTCCATGATACAAGTATAGATTTGGCCAGCTGTATGTGGTCTACGATATGTAATGTTATGTTTGTATGTAACATGTATTCACACACACACACACACACACACTATATATATATGTATGTGTGTGTTTCTACGCGTGTGTATATGCGTGCATGCGTGTGTGCATGCTCACCTATTTGTGCCCGCATGTGTGTGTGTGCGTGCGTACGTGTGTGCATGCGCGCATGCATAACCATTCGTCATAATTTAGGCCCGTCACACCTCAACTTGAAGACATTATACACTGGGCCAATTAATCAATATCTTTTATGCTAAAATCCATTCCAATTTGCATATAATTAGGCTTGAATGGGTAACCGTGATCCATTCATGAATATTAACTCATCATTCCTTGAATAAGTTGATTCATGAA